AGGCAGCCAGAAAGTTTCCTCCAGGTTGAAGAAAAATATAATAGATTCCTCCCTTTGATGGGAGGAATGAGTGAAGCCAGAACCATTGTCCTGCCATTTTCTGAAAATACATCTGCCACAGGGCGTTTTGTTGTAAAGGGAGCAAAATTTAGGACAGTAGCTTGGGGGGAATGTGGACAGGTCAGCTTACCCAGTAGGCACAGTGCCTAGGGCCCAATATTTTAAATTTCTTTTAAAACCAGAATAAAGGCCAAGCATGGTGGCTCATGCCTATAATCCCAGCACTTGGGAGGCCAAGGCAAGAGGGTCACTTGAACCCAGGAGTTCAAGACTGGGAAACATATGAGACCTTGTCTCTACTAAATATCAAAAAATTAACCAAGCATGGTGGCGCACAACTGTAGTCCTAGATACTCAGGAGGCTGAGGCAGGAGGATTGCTTGAGCCCAGGAGGTCGAGGCTATAGTGAGCCCTGATAGCACCAGTACACTCCAGCCTGGGCAACAGAGACCCTATCTCAGGATAAATACACTAGTTAATTAAAATAAAATCAGAGCCAGGAGCGGTGGCTCATGCCTGTAATCCCAGCACTTTGGGAGGCCAAAGTGGGTGCATCACTTGAGGTCAGGAGTTCAAGACCAGCCTGACCAACATGGTGAAACCCTGTCTCTACTAAAAATAGAAAATTAGCCAGGCATGGTGGTGCACACCTGTAATCCCAGCTACGTGGGAGGCTGAGGCAGGAGAATCACTTGAACCCGGCAGGGCAGAGGTTGCAGTGAGCCGAGATCGTGCCATTGCACTCCAGCCTGGGTGACAGAGCAAGACTCTGTCTCAAAATAATAATAATAATAAAATAAAATCATAATTAAAAAGAAACACCCAGTCTAGATTATGTTCTTTTTTATACCAGTGATAATTATTAATATTTACTTATTTAATATTTTTTCAATATTTATATTATGACCCATGAAGGCAAAAACGTGTGGGGCCCATGAACGTCATAATGTAGCCCTGAACGTGGGGTCAAGGAAGGATTTTTGTCTTGTTTTAATAAAGGCAATATTACAGGACATCTGAATGCCGACGGGAATGTCATTAGAGAGGGATGAGTGGAGGCTGCAGAAGAGAAAGGGAGTAACTGTGGGAATGAAGCTTTCGAGTAGTTAAAGAGAGATGTGATCTAGGAAACAAGTAGCAGTATTGACAGGGACAAGGGGAAGGGCACGCTGCTTCCACTGAGACTGGAAGGGGGCAGAGGACATGGGCACAGATACAGAGAAGTTGGTAAACACTGGTGGGAAGATGAGTCACTGTCTCTTCTGTCTCTGTGAAGTGGGTGACAGTGTGGGAGTGAGTGGAAGGTTTGAGGGCAGGAAGCGCTATGGAATAGTCATCTCAGAGGGGGGAGAGGGAATTCGGCGGGAAGAATATGTAGTATGATTGTCTGACATGATCTGAAGTGTGTGCAGCCAGCATGATTTGTGATGTCCTCCAGCGATGTCCAGGCTCCCCACTGTAGGCAAGGTGTTACTGCATAGTTAGCGTACAGCCTTAACCAGGGCCAGGCCAAGTGAGGCATTAGGAGGAGAACAAAAGTCAAAATGGACAGAATGCTGGGCCATGGAATGAGGATAAGGAGGAGAGTGAGGAGATGAGCAAGATGACAGATGTTAAAAACGGATCAGCGGGTTGGAAGTCGCAATGAGATTAGTGAATTACTGGAGTGAAGATATTAGAGTGACAGATGGAAGGGGTGGGGTGCTGATAAGAGAAGGCAGCATTTAAATGTTTCAGAGGTAGTAGAGATTGGTGACAGCAAGGCCTAGGGTGGTGATCCTCAAACTTCAGTATGCATTGGAAGCACCTGGAGGGGCTTGTTAAAACACAGACTCCTGGCCCCAACCCACAGTTCCTGATTCAGTAGGTCTGAGGTGGGGCCTAAGACTTTGCATTTCTAACAAGCTCCCAGGTGCTGCACTGGTGGCTCAGGGACCACAAGTGAATGGAAGTCCTAGGTAAGGTGGAAGAAAAGCTCTTTGGAACTAAAGAGACCAAGGACCAGGCCAAACACGGTGACTCACGCATGTGGGACCATGCCAGGTTGCCAGCAATTAGAGAGTAAGAGGGCAGTGCGACCCCCACACATACTCTCATTGGGGCTGGGCACAGTGGCTCATGCCTGTAATCCCAGCACTTTGGGAGACCAAGGCAAGCAGATCATCTGAGGTCAGGAGTTCGAGACCAGCCTTGTCAACATGGTGAAACCCTGTCTCTACTAAAAATACAAAAATTGGCCAGGCGTGGTGGGGGGTACCTGTAATCCCAGTTACTAGGAAGGCTGAGGCAGGAAAATCGCTTGAACCCAGGAGGCGGAGGTTGCAGTGAGCTGAGATCGTGCCATTGTACTCTGGCCTGGGCGAAAAGAGCAAAAACTCTGTCTCAAAAAAAAAGGAGATCAAGAACCTTTGAGGCCAGTGTGTGGGATGGGCTGTTTATCCACTTGGATGTCAAAGTCACTGAAATGACTGACATGATGCTTTGAGACAAGCAGGGAAGTCAACAGTGAATTACAGCAAGGAGGGAAGTAAATAGTGGCAAGGAGTCAGATGTGGCTTCAAAGGGACTGGCCTTTTCTAGGGAGAAAAAAATAAAAGGCCATTTGGAGGCAAGAGTGAGAAGAGAGGAGGACACTAGCCCTGTTATCTAGACCTTGAGGTGTGTGGGGGAGAAAAACCCACCACCACTTGAAAGGATGACAGAAGTTATCACATTTCTTCTTCAGGAATAGTAAGAAAGTTAAAAGAGCTTTCAGAGCTCAGTGACGTCTGGAGGCAGAGAACAGTGAGAGAGGAGGTCAGGCCTGGAGATGTGCAAAACAATTCAGGCTGAACACCCAGTGAGGGACGGGAAGGTTAAGGACAGATTCACTGGAAATGCTGCCTCTGAAGTCTTCTAGAAAAATGAATGTCGCCGGGCACGGTGGCTCAAGCCTGTAATCCCAGCACTTTGGGAGGCCGAGATGGGTGGATCACGAGGTCAAGAGATCGAGACCATCCTGGCTAACACGGTGAAACCCCATCTCTACTAAAAATACAAAAAAAATTAGCCGGGCATGGTGGCAGGCGCCTGTAGGCCCAGCTACTCGGGAGGCTGAGGCAGGAGAATGGCGTGAACCCAGGAGGCAGAGCTTGCAGTGAGCCGAGATAGTGCCGCTGCACTCCAGCCTGGACGACAGAGCAAGACTCCGCCTCAAAAAAAAAAAAAAAGAAAAGAAAAAGAAAAATGAATGTCGCTGGGCGCAGTGGCTCACGCCTATAATCCCAGCACTTTGGGAGACCAAGGTGGGTGGATCACTTGAGGTCAGGAGTTTGAGACCAGCCTGGCCAACATGGTGAAACCCTGTCTCTACTAAAAATACAAAAATTAGCTGGGTGTTGGGTGCAGCAAACCGACATGGCACATGTATACCTATGTAAGAAACCTGCATGTTATGCACATGTACCCTAGAACTTAAAGTATAATAAAAAAAGAAAAAAAAAAAAACCTGGGTGTTGTGGTGGGCACCTGTAATCCCAGCTGCTCCGGAGGCTGAGGCATGAGAATCACTTGAACCTGGAGGTGGAGCTTGCAGTGAGCCAAGATCGCGCCACTGCACTCCAGCCTGGGCGACAGAGTGAGACCCTGTCTCAAAAAATAAATTTTTTTTTAAAAAAAAAGCAAAAAAAAAGAAAAATGTGTGTCCCAGGTCTTTTGATTTCTTGGCGGTGTCATTTTTATGTTACATTAAAATAAGCATGAATATGTAATTGTTCAAAAGCAAATTTACATGACCTTTAATGTAAAAGTAAGAGCCTTCAAAGATATTTTAGACCATGCTCCCAGATCCTTCTCATATGTTAGTATTTTGGAGGAAATGTGAAAAAAGCACTACCCCTAGGTCTTGGGTGAAGGGTTGGAGGGAGGTAGTTGTATTTTTAATCAGAAAGTGAAAAGCTCCCAAGATCAAAGGTGTGATCTGGAAAGGAGCTTCAGATCCTGTGTCAGGGATTGAGTTAGCCTGGAAACAGAGTTGCTCACCTAGAGCCCTTCCCATCATAGATTCTGCCTCTTTTCACTAGACCATCTGAGGAGCGAGTCCCAGATCACCAGCGGATTCTGTTTTACGGATTAGGATTTGATCTCACTTCCTCTCTGGGCTTGGGTCTCCTGTCTCCAAGATGGGCCTCCCTGGAGCAATGTGGGGCCCAGCTAAAGAGACAGGGAGTGAGTGAGATGGGAGGATCCCAGCCTGGCACCCCGACTGTTTCTTCACTCTGCGTCCCTCTGCTTACCTCTCAATTTCTTCCCCTTCTACTTCTTCAGAGTCTGCCTGGGCCAGCTTGGTTGCTTTGTTGACAAGGCTAAGGGAAGGGGTGAGACTGGAGGAGCTTAGACTGGAGGTCAGAACTTCCAGGGGAATCTCCTTTTTTTTTTTTTTTTTTTTTTTTTGAGATGGAGTCTTACTCTGTCCCCCAGGCTGGAGTGCAGTGGCGCGATCTCGGCTCACTGCAACCTCCGCCTCCTGGGTTCGAACGATTCTCCTGCCTCAGCCTCCTGAGTAGCTGGGATTACAGGTGCCTGCCACTACGCCCAGCTAATTTTTTAGTATTTTTAGTAGAGACAGGGTTTCACCATGTTGGCCAGGCTGGTCTCAAACTCCTGATATCGGGATCCACCCACCTCAGCCTCCCAAAGTGCTGGGATTACAGGCATGAGCCATCGCGCCCGGCTGCCCTGGGAATCTTCTAATAGTCTTAGGACGGCTTAGCTGGCCTGGGCCCACCTCCCTTGCCACCTGCCCCCTGCACTGACGATCATGTTCAGTCACCCAGGAGATGATGGAGAGGCTGATCAGGCCTCCTGGAAAGGGAGGAAGAGGGCCCTAGCTGGAGAGATCCGTCAGCAGAAGCCAGGGAGGAGACACAGACCCTTGCTCCCTGACACTCCTCAGGGCCAGCATGGGGCAGGAGTTTAGCTGGGAGGAGGCAGAGGCAGCTGGCGAGATAGATGTGGCAGAGCTCCAGGAGTGGTACAAGAAGTTCGTGATGGAGTGCCCCAGTGGCACACTCTTTATGCATGAGTTTAAACGCTTCTTCAAGGTCACAGACGATGAGGAGGCCTCCCAGTACGTAGAGGGCATGTTCCGAGCCTTCGACAAGAATGGGGTAAGGCACCCTGAAGGGAAGGAACGGTGGCCAGTCCACCTGGTGCCTTCCTCCACGAGTGTCCTCAGGGAGAGCTCCCAGTTCCCCACTCCTGTTCTTTCTCTACTCTTCTTTCCATTCCATCTCTCATTACCTTTTCTGTGTCACTCCCCAAACCCTTCTGTCTCCTCTTTTGTCCCTTTCCATCTTATCTGTCTCTCCTTCCCTCCCTCTGTCTCTCAACTGTCGGCTGATGCTCCCTGTGTCCTCTTCTTGAGAGCTGAAGGGGGACTGGCAGACAGTCCAGGTCCTCTCTTTGTGTATTTTTGGCCAAGACTCTGCAGCCAATGACTGGGTTTTCACATCTGCCAGAGACCCTGTCACTCTAAACACTAGGAGCAAAAGAGATGTTCCAAATGGGACGAGGTATCTTAGCATGGGCTATGAGTTCCCTCTTGTTGGGGTTCTTTGAACTGAGACTGGTCAGATTCTCCCTGTCAAGAATGCTGGAGGAGGCTCCTGCATGGATTGGGAGACTGGGAGGATGACTGCAAAAGCCCCTTTCAGCTCTTAAAGTCCAGGAAGGTTTCATGAAATCATTCAGACTAGAGTTTCTCTAAGCCCCAATGTCACTAGCAGCTAAGAAGATAACACATCTTGTAAATGCACCTGGGGATTGAATTTTAAATTTCAATTCAGTTAAAAAAACCCCTTGATTATTTAAGGTTATCCAGTTCAGTGCCCTGGCAATCCTGCAAACCCCTGGATTTGCCTCAAATACCTATTTAATCTGGAGAAAGCATCAGTACTCCACTTCTCAGTGCGTGGAGAATTTAGCTGTCTAAGCTGAATCACTGGGAATGCCACTTCAGGTCTCATCCTGTCGCTGGTACCAGTCAGTGCACATCCCCACAGTGCCTGTCCCGGGACAGGAGGGTGAGGTCAGCATCTTCAATTCAACAGAACCTCCTCAGAGATGAACCCCATCGACCACCCCACAGGGCACAGAGCCAGTTTCAGGCTTCTTAGCACTCCCCCTCTCCTCGGTCTCCTCTGAGTCAGCAGCAACCCTGGGTGGGAGGGGCAGACTTTTGTTATTCCAGATTAAATGATGAGAAAGCTGGGCAAAAGGAAATGAATCGATTTGCCCAAGGTCTTAAGTGCTCCTGCTTAGAAGGCAAGTTTTTTTAAAGAGAGAAGATGAGTTTTTAAAATAATTGATGATTTTTTTAAATGTCTTAAGAAAAGTAAACAAATATATCAGGTCATAAATAATAAGACTCATTTAAGTTCATCAATCTTCCCCAGATTCATCTAAAAATCAATACAATCATGATTCAAGATCGAAAAGGGCGATTAAGAACCTAGGCATATTGTTGTACTCCTTATGCCTCATCTCTTCTTATAAATCGGCATATGTTCATCAATGTTTTTCCTTTTTGGATAACTTCTTAATTTTGCTATGATTCTAAATTTACAGAAAAGTTATAAGAATGATACAAGTGGCCGGGCGCGGTGGCTCAAGCCTGTAATCCCAGCACTTTGGGAGGCCGAGACGGGCGGATCACGAGGTCAGGAGATCAAGACCATCCTGGCTAACACGGTGAAACCCCGTCTCTACTAAAAATACAAAAAACTAGCCGGGCGAGGCGGCGGGCGCCTGTAGTCCCAGCTACTCGGGAGGCTGAGGCAGGAGAATGGCGGGAACCCGGGAGGCGGAGCTTGCAGTGAGCTGCGATCCGGCCACTGCACTCCAGCCTGGGCGACAGAGCGAGACTCCGTCTCAAAAAAAAAAAAAAAAAAAAAAGAATGATACAAGTAACTCCCATATGCAATTTATCCAAATTTCCCCAGTTATTTACATTTTATCTCATTTACTTTATCATTCTGCCTCTCTCTGTATACATACATATATATAATGTATCCTATAAGTATATGTACATATACATGATACATAATTTATACATATACAGAATATATACATATACTTTTTTTAAGAGAAAATTATAGATATCATGCCTATTTATCCCTAAGTATTTCAGTGTGTATTTTCTTTTTCTTTTTGGTTTTTGAGACAGGGTCTCACTCTGTCACCCAGGCTGTAGTACAGTGGCATGATCTCAGCTTTTTGCAGCCTCTAATTTCCGAGGCTCAAGGGATCCTCCCACCTCAACCTCTCAAGTAGCTGGGATTACAGGTATGCACCACCATGCCTGCTAATTTTTGTATTATTTACTTATCTATTTTGGTAGAGACAGAGTCTTGCCATGTTGCCCAGGCTGAAGTGCAGTGGCACGATCTCAGCTCACTGCAATCTCCACCTCCCGGGTTCAAGTGATTCTCATGCCTCATCCTCCCGAGTAGCTAGAATTATAGGTGCGCATCCCCATGCCTGGCTAATTTTTGTATTTTTAGTAGAAATGGGATTTCACCATGTTAAACAGGCTGGTGTCGAACTCCTGACCTGAAGTGATCCGCCTACCTCGGCCTCCCAGAGTGCTGGGATTATAGGCATGAGCCACTGCACCTGGTGAGGTTTCTTTCTTTTTTCCTTTTTCTTTTCTTTTTTTTTTTTTTTTTTTTTGAGATGGAGTGCAGTGGTGTGATCTCGGCTCACTGCAACCTCCACCTCCCAGGTTCAAGCGATTCTCCTGCCTCAGCCTCCCCAGTAGCTGGAACTACAGGCGAGTGCCACCACACCCAGCTAATTTTTGTATTTTTAGTAGAGACGGGGTTTCACCATGTTAGCCAGGATGGTCTCCATCTCTTGACTTCATGATCCGCCAGCCTCAGTCTCCCAAAGTGTTGGGATTACAGGCATGAGCCACTGCACCCGGCCTTCCTTTTTCTTTGTTTGTTTGTTGTTGTTATTGTTGTTTTTTGGTGTGATCACACATTGCATTTCCTTGTTGTATCCTCCTTAGTCTTCTTTAACTTGGAACCTTTAATCTCAGCTTTTCTTTTTTATTTGGCTGTGACATTTTTGAAGACTGCGCACCTCCATGCCTGGCTGAATTATGTGGTAGGACACCCCACAATTGGTGTTTGCCTGAATTGGCAGAATTGCCACTGATGTGATGTTGTGTCCTCGGTGCATCATATCATCAGGTATAAGATGTCAGTTTGTCCCGTCACTGGCACAGTTAACTTTGATCACTTGGTTAAGGTGGTATCTGCCATGTTTCAACACTGTAAAGTTACTATTTTTTTTCTTTGTAATTAATAAGCATCTCGTAGGGATATACGTTAAGACTAAGTAAATATCCTATTGTTCAGTCAAATTTTCTACTGGCTTTGGCATCTGTTGATAATTTTCTAACCCCACCACCCTTCTCTATTTACTAGTTGGCGTTCCACTGTAAGGAAGAGCCTCCCTAGAACATGTTTTTAAGTTCCTCTCTCAGGGACTGAGTCTTCTTTCCCACTTAGTCTTTTTCTCCAAACCTACACCTGACTCCATTCCCCTTTATATCGAGGAGTGTCATTTCTGAACAATCGGTCTGAGATTTCTAAAGCAAATCAAATCAAAAGAGTTTATGGATCTAGTTCACATGTGAAAATCTGAGGTGATGGAAACTGGTTTGGTGGAGACAAAGGGGTAGGAACACCTCATCTCTGCCACTCTCCCTTGCAACTCTGGTGGTTGCCCTATGACCGCCTAGAATGGAAGAAAGGGGAGGGTCAAGATCAAATGTCATTTGGGATTCTTGTATAACATGCACTGAGGTCAGGGCTGGTGCACAAATGTGGCCAATTCAAGGAGAAACAGGGCAGATAATCCCACAGAGCCGGTGACACGCCCATCCTATTCCTGAGTAGACAGAGCCATTTCCATCACTCTCAGGCCTCTGTGGGTAATTGGAGCTGACAAGGTCCCATGCACAGCAGATGAGATTAGTCCCAGCTGGAAGTTTCCCAGAAATGGTCCTGGGGTTTCTAGTAACCTCTCAGATGAGATCACTTGTCTAGAGATCACTCTGGAATATGTCTCATATAAGGCCAGAAGTCATGGAAACTGAATCATGCTGAGAGGATGTTGTAGGAACAGAAGTTTTGGGACAAAGAATGAGGAAGACTGGAGATCTAGAGCGTGGGGATTTGTGGTGGTTTCAGGTTTTTTGTTTTTGTTTTTCTTCTCTTGGCATCCCCAAGCACTAAGCTCATTTGCTGGACAGAAATAGATCTTAAGTGGAGACTGCAAGTTTTTCCGACTTGATGAACTGGAGGAGATGTGTGCCTGGAAAAGCTCTGCCACTTGCTGGCTGGGTGGCCTGGGAACCTCTGGGTCCCAGACTCCTCATCCATAAAATGGGGATAATAAATCATCCTCATTAAATAAGAAACGCAAGTTTGCTTTGTGGTAAGCTTAATATATAACAACTACTCAAGAAAATAGCCTTTTAAAGAACTGACAACCACTGCCAAGTGTCTACCCTAAAAAAAAAAAAAAAAATACCAGAGATGTAAGAAAAGGTATACATGCGAAAAAAATGTTCATTGTGTAATGGAAAATATTAGAAATATGTTCAACAAAGGGAATGTTCAGTACCACCTCCCCACCAAAAAAAAAAAAATGGAAGTTGACATTTTAAATAATTTTTAAAGACATGAGAAAATGTTACATGAAAATGAAGGAAACAAAATTATAAATATAATCTGACCTCAATTAGGTAAGTATATGACGGGGAGCACGAGACCATATATTTCTAGGAATTATATAAAAGATATGAATAGAACACTTCAGGTACTAAGGTAAGCTCATTTTGTTTTCTTCTTAGCTTTTCCTTAGGCTTCTTGCTGTTTCCCTCATTTTCTGCCATTTCTCCTGTTGCTCAAACCTTGTTCACCCAGGCACCCCTTGATCTGGGGCTGGGGCTCCTGAGTGTCCTGACCCAGTGGGACAGAAGTGCTCTGCTCTGGGCCATCGGTATCATTTCCGATAACAAAGTCATGTGAATGACAGGCACTCCTGGGGGATCTGATGGCTCAGATTTTTTTGTTTGGAGAGTGGAGGTCCCAACCCTGGAATAAGTGAGCACCTGTAAGCGAGACACTGGCACAGCTAACCCACTGCAGCCACCACCAGCAGCAGCAGCAGCAGGCTGTCACCCCAAACACATTTGGAGAAGAAAGCAAGAATATATCCTCTTTCTTGTTTACGGCTTTAGAAATCGTTATTGCTGCCGCATTTCTGTTACAAGAAGTTTCTGTTGTTTCTTGGTGAGAGTCACCTTAGAAGTAGACTGTGCCTCTCTCCCTTCCTCTGCCCAGTTAGCATCTGAGCTCTGTGCTCCCCCACCCTTCCTGGATGGGCTGGAGTCACAGGCCTGTTGTTCGGTGTAATGTACACCGGAACTTAGAAGTGGGTAGGGCTGGAGACACTGCCTGTCTGCCTCTCTCTGACTTGGGGTGAATGAGAATGCAGAGGAAAATTTCAACATAGGCTCTGCTTTCTAATCTCCTTCAAAACTGTCTTAGTCCCAAATTCAGATCAAGTCCATCATTGACTAATTGATCCATGAATATCTATTGGCTTCCAACTCTGGCCGTAAGTGGCACTGTGCTAGGCACGGAGGAGAAACCCAAGCAATGTCAACCCCTCTCTTTTCCCCAGGAGCATATAACGTGGTTAGAGAACGAGACATATTTAGGAAACAGTTAAGTGACAATGCCAGAGAAAGTCCCAAGCTGTGTAGAATAAGCAGTAGATGCTGAGGATGTTAGAATGGGGAGGGAGAGAGCACTATGGCTGAATAGATCAGAGAACGAAGGCTTCCTGGAGGAGGAGACCGTTGAGCTCAGCCTTGAAGGATGGGTAGGCTTGGGTGATCATAGAAAATGAGAAGAGAGAATGTTCTCTAGGCTGAGTGTGGTGGCTCATGCCTGTAATCCAAACATTTTGGGAGGCCAAGAAGGGAGGATCACTTGAGCCCAAGAGTTTGAGGCCAGCCTGGGTAATGTAGTGAGACCCTGTTTCTAAAAATAAATAGACGGATGATTGATTGATAGAGAGATAGATAGATAGATAGATAGATAGATAGACAGATAATGTGATACAGATGATATAGATAGATAGATAGATAGATAGATAGATAGATAGATAGATAGATAATAGAATGTTCTCTACCCCAAGGGTGGAGAAAGGCTTGAGCAAAGATGCAGAGGTCACATGGATTAAAATGAGGAGGAGAAGCCCTGTGTTTGCAGGGATGAATGGCATATGCTCTGGGGAGGTGGGCTGTGCCCTCAGCAGCATCCACATCTAATGCAGGACAACACCATTGACTTCCTGGAGTACGTGGCAGCCCTGAATCTCGTGCTGAGAGGCACCCTGGAGCACAAGCTGAAGTGGACCTTCAAGATTTATGATAAGGACGGCAATGGCTGCATCGACCGCCTGGAGCTACTCAACATTGTGGAGGTTAGTGTCTCTGCCCATGGGCCAGCAGCCTGGGCACTTGAGCACTGCTGGAGCTCTGAGGGTTGGCTGCAAGTGGCCAGCGGGGACTGAAGAAGAGGCCTTGAAATCATTCTGAGTGTGTTTCCTGTGTTCTCGTTCTAAGTGTGTACTTTCTAGTGGAATTAAGCTAGAAATCAATCACAAAAAGATTATTAGAAAATCCCCATCTGTTTGGAAATTAGGCAGTAGACTTCCACATACTCCGTGGATCAAAGAAATACTTTCCCTTTCTCTCCCTCTCTCTCTCTCTCTCTCTCTCTCTCTCTCTCTCTCTCACACACACACACACACACACACACACACACACACACACGTCTTAAATTGAAAAATAATGCAAGCATGATATACTACAACTTGTGGAATGCAGCTAAAGCTGAACCTGCAGAAAAATTTATAGATTTAAAATGTACATATTAGAAAATAAGACTTAAAATGCATACATTAGGAAATAGAGACTGGATGCAGTGGCTCATTCCTGTAATCTCAGTACTTTGGGAGGCTGAGGTGGGAGGATTGCTTGAGCCCGGGAGTTCAAGACCAACCTGGAAAACAAAGTGAGACCCCCATCTCTACAAAAAGTTTAAAAATTATCCAGGCTTGGAGGTACATGCCTGTAGTCCTAGCTACTTAGGAGACTGAGCTGGGAGGATTGCTTGAGCCAGGAGTTGGAGGCTGCAGTAAGCTATGATCATGCCACTGCGTTCCAGCTGGGGCAACAAAGTAAGACCCTGTCTCAAAAAAAAAAAACGAAAAGAAAATATATATTAGGAAACAATTAGAAAATGCATTCTATATTAGAAAATAAGACTTTATATATTAGAAAATCAATGATCTAAGAGGCCATCTCAGGAAATTAGAAAAAAGGAAGAGTAAATTAAAGCCAGGTGCAGGGACTCACACATGTAATCCCAGCACTTTAGGAGGCTGAAGTGAGTGGATCACTTGAGCCCAGGAGTTCAAGATCAGCCTGGGCAACATAGTAAGACCCCATCTCTACAAAAAACACACAAAAAAATTAACTGGGCATGGTGGTATGCACCTGGTCCCAGCTACTCCCAAGGCTGAGGTGGGAGGATTGCCTGAGCCTGGGAGGTCGAGGCTACAATGAGCTGTGATTGTGCCACTGCACTCCAGCCTGAGCAACAGAGTGAAAACCTGTCTAAAAAAAAAAAAGGTAAAATAAACCCTTGTCCGGGAGCAGTGGTGGCTCACACCTGTAATACCAGTACCTTGGGAGGCCGAGGCGGGAAGATCACAAGGTCATGAGATCGAGACCACTCTGGCTAACATGGTGAAACCCAGTCTCTACTAAAAGTACAAAAAACTATCCGGGCGTGGTGGCAGGTGCCTGTAGTTCCAGCTACTGCAAAGGCTGAGGCAGGAGAATCGCTTGAACCTGGGAGGTGGAGCTTGCAGTGAGCCGAGATGGTGCCACTGCACTCCAGCCTGGGCAACAGAGTGAGACTCCATCTCAAAATAAATAAATCAATAAATAAAATTAAATCCAAAGATAGCAGAAGAAAGAAAATAAACAGCAGAAATCAATAAAATAGAAAACACAAATGCATGAGAAAAAGTCAAGATCAGAAGTTATTTCTTTTAAAAGACTAACAATCACTCTCTATTAGCAAGAATGATTAAGGAAGAAAAGAAGTGCCTGGTGTATTCCAGACTCTGGCGTGTTCCCTGCGTTAGCCAGACTATCGTTAGCCCTATTTCACAGAGCAAGAAGTTGCTTCATAGAGATTCTGTAATCTGCCCAAATTAGTCTACCTAGAAAGTGCTAGAGCTGGATTTAACCCCTCAGTCTCCCAAGACACGTTGATGAGCCCTACTTTGTGCTGGGCACTGGGCTGGGCAGTGAGGCCATAGAGGTGCATAAGACACAGCTTCTGTCCTCAGGGAGCACCAGCCTGGGAGCTAAGGAAAAGCGTCATATGTGTCCATCTCTTCCGCATTTACATAGTGCTTTCTTGCTTTCTTTCTTTTTTTTTTTTTTTTTTTTGAGACAGAGTCTCGTTTTGTTGCCCAGGCTGGAGTTCAGTGGCACAATCTCAGCTCACTGCAACCTCTACCTCCTGGGTTCAAGCAATTCTCCTGCCTCAGCCTCCTGAGTAGCTGGGATTACAGGCGCCCACCACTGTGCCCGGCTAGTTTTTGTATTTTTAGTAGAGACAGGATTTCACCGTGTTGGCCAGGCTGGTCTTGAACTCCTGACCTCAAATGATGGCCTGCCTTGGCCTCTCAAAGTGCTGGGATTACAGGCGTGAGCCACAGCGCCTGGCCTACATGATGCTTTCACAAACATAGTTTCATCAGGAGAGGAAACAGGGAAAAGGAGAAACCTGGGTTTTTCCCTCCCGTCCATGAGGAGAGAACATGTGTATCCCCATCTTTCTGTTTTACACATGTACAGACACACACATATATAGATACACTGAATTTTCTTCTCTGCACCTCTATTTCTTCCTGTGTAGAATGCGATTTAGACTCATGGTGACTTAAACCTCCCTCATTAGAGGTTTTGGATTTGGGCTTTGCGGCTCACAGTGGAAATGCAAATGGTGTTGGGGTCAGGTGGGGTGTGAGGCCGGGAACTCAGCTGGAATTAGGCCAGTGGGATTCTGAGAGCACCACCTTAGGACAGGTCAGTTTTGATTTGGATCCAGATTACGTGATCCTAAGACGCACAGCCTGGGAAGCCAGCACTGGGGAAGTGGTGCTGAAGGATATGGGTCACGGGGGTGAGGGTGAGCTTGCAGGGTCTCCCATCAATGCAACTGAGTTTTCTTTGGCAGGGAATTTACCAGCTGAAGAAAGCCTGCCGGCGAGAGCTACAAACTGAGCAAGGCCAACTGCTCACGCCCGAGGAGGTGGTAGATAGGATCTTCCTCCTGGTGGATGAGAATGGAGATGGTAAGAGGGGCAGAGATGTGTAGGGGGTGCTGCCCACTCTGCATCACCGCCACTTTCTGGCCTTAAATCCTTGGGCAAGACCCTCCACTTTCCAACCCTGGTGTCCTCATCTATGAGAAGGCTGTGGAGAAGATGACATGAACTAACAAAGGGACTCATGAGCACGTGTTTGTAGGAGCGACTAAAAGTCCTATAGGAGTTGCCGATGGAGGCCAAGTATGCAGAATAGAAAGAATTGGAACTTTGGAGTCAGGCAGGGAGTGATATATTGAGTTTCTCGTCCTGGTCTCAATTTCCTCATCTGGAAAATGGGGATAATAATAGTGGTTGAGAGGAATGAATGGGATAATGTGTTTAAGAGCAGGCATAGGGTAGGCCTCCATTCAGGTTGCTTGGGCTCTCCTCCCTGTAGCCCAGTGCCCAGCCCCAAGGCTGTGTGGGGTGAGAGCTGGCTTGGAATACACACACGAGCCCTCCAGATCTCTCAGCTCCACCCAGCATTTCCGTGGGACTGCGTGCAAAAATTCAATTCATCTGCAAAGAAAGCCCCCTCCACCTTTTTTTTTTTTTTTTTTTTTTTTTTTTTTTGAGATGGAGTCTCACTCTGTCGCCCAGGCTGGAGTGCAGTGGCGCGATCTCGGCTTACTGCAAGCTCCGCCTCCCAGGTTCACGCCATTCTCCTGCCTCAGCCTCCCCAGTAGCTGGGACGACAGGTGCCCACCACCACGCTCAGCTAATTTTTTGTATTTTTAGTAGAGACGGGGTTTCACTGTGTTAGCCAGGATGGTCTCTATCTCCTGACTTCATGATCCAACCGTCTCGGCCTCCCAGAGTGCTGGGATTACAGGCGTGAGCCACCGCACCCAGCCTAGAAAGCCCCTTAAAGGTGGCAGGAGACTCCTGGAGATTCAGACACCTGACAAGCCTCAAGCTTGGGGCCTGAGACTGCAGGATAGTTGGCATAAGAGGTGTAGGCGCATCCTGGGAGTGAGGTCTCCCCTCCTGCCCCCAGACTCAGGTCTCCCCTTCTTCTGCATGACCGCCTCTCCTCCCCCTTGCTCAGGCCAGCTGTCTCTGAACGAGTTTGTTGAAGGTGCCCGTCGGGACAAATGGGTGATGAAGATGCTGCAGATGGACATGAATCCCAGCAGCTGGCTCACTCAGCAGAGACGGAAAAGCGCCATGTTCTGAGGATCTGGGGCCCCTGCATGACTCCAGGCTCACCCAGGTTTCCAGGGTAGTGGAAGGGTCCCTGGCTTAGCCTGCTCATGCCCACTCGTCCCCTGGTGTGGACTTCCTGGCACCCCCTGTGCAGGGCTGAGTGGAGATGGGGAAGGGCTGCTGGGTCTGAAGTGGCCAACAGGGCATAGTCCATGTTGGAGGATTCCCTGGGATGGTGAAGGGAACTGGGTTACTTTTCCCGTTCAGCTATTCCCGGGAGAACTATGCCTTGGCTTGGTGGTTGTGGGACTCCCACGGTTTCTAGGTGTTCTCAGTTGGAAGCAGGAGCCAACTGAGGGGTGAGGGTCCCACAGACCAAATCAGAAATGAGAACACAAAGACTGGTAGGAGGCAGGGGTGGTAGGGTGTTGAGACTGAAGAAAAGGCAGGAGTGTTGGGAAGCAGGGGGCGGCAATAACTCTCTAACTTCCAGGATGCTGAGGGGCGTTAATGGGGAGGACCCTGGCCTCCTTCTCCCCAAGGCATCCTCACCAGTGGTGTCAACAGGAAAAATGGTAGCAAATACGCTGCAGGCTGTGGTCTTTCTGCCTTTGGAAGGGTCAGCTGTGCTTAAAGGGGCTGTTTCAGCTCTGCCTGGGAGCTGCTCCGGGATCCCCTGCTGCCAACCCACCATTCCCCCAACAAGCCTCCCTTTCCATCCACATCCCCCGCTATGGACCTTCCACAACTCCCAGCCATAAGCTGAATGTTTCTCTTTAAAGGATGGAGAAAACTTCTGTCTGTCTCTGGCGAGAATTGGGGGCCTGCTGACTGGGGTTCATGGGCCGGACTTTGCTTCTCATGGCTGTGTGACCCAAGACAGCCACTTCTCCTCCCTAACCTCAGTTATGTCTCAGTGGCACGGTGAGCAGGTCGGACTAGGCAAGCAGTTTTGGATTATTATATTTTTAGATGTGGAATTATTTTTTGTTATATAAACTCTTATGTGTAACTCCAGTATAGAAACTAGATTGAAAGGGAGTCTCTCTGGTTGAAAGGGGGTCTGAGTACCCTCTGGAACTGGAGGCACCTCTGAAAAAAGCAAACTGAAAACCAGCATCCTGGGTCACTGTTACTCCTGTAAGACAGTTTAAAGTGAGACCTGGAAAAACATTTGCTTTATCTTGAATAGATAGGTTGTTATGTTGGTGTATAAAAAATAAAACTAACCTATTAAACCTGCGACTTCATAGCGTGCTATTTCATATGATATTCATATAAAATTTCCTTTAGACACCAATTTGGTAAAAAAATAATTGATTAGAAAAACATTGGCCAGGCACAGCAGCTCACACCTGTAATCCCAGGATTTTGGGAGGCCGAGGTGGGTGGATCACCTGAGGTGAGGAGTTCAAGACCAGCCTGACCAACATGGTGAAACCCCGTCTCTACTAAAAATACAAAAAAAAAAAAAAAAAAAAATTAGCTGGGCGCAGCGGCAGGTGCCTGTAATCCCAGCTACTCGTGAGGCCGAGGCAGGAAAATCACTTGAACCCAGGAGTTGGAGGTTGCAGTGAGCCAAAACCGCGCTATTGCACTCCAGCCTGGGTAACAAGTATGAAATTCCCTCAAAAAAAAAAAAAAAAAGAAAGAAAGAGAAAGAGAAAAGGAAGGAAGGAAGGAAGGAAGGGAGGGAGGGAGGGAGGGAGGGAGGGAAAGACAGAAAGAAAGAGAAAAGCAAAGCAAAGCAAGCGGGCCAGGTGGGGTGGCTCATGCCTATAATCCCAGCACTTTGGGAGGACGAGGTGGGCGGATCACCTGAGGTCAGGAGTTTGAGACCAGCCTGACCAACTTGGTGAAACCCCGTCTCTACTAAAGCTACAAAATGAGCCAGGTGTGGTGGCATGCGCCTCTAATCCCAGCTACTTGGGAGACTGAGGCAGGAAAATCGCTTGAACCCTTGAGGCGGAGGTAGCGGTGAGCCAAGATCGCCCCATTGCACTCCAGCTTGGGCAACAAGAGTGAAACTCCATCTCAAAAAATATATATATATATATACGTGTGTGTGTGTGTGTGTGTGTGTGTGTGTGTGTATCCAGGTGGGACACACATATGCCCCAAATTATGAAGAAGGTATGTGAATGACATTGAGGGATGTCCTAATTACACGCAGACACCTTCCCAACTCTGACCTTCAGGATTTCCCGACAGGCAGCCAGCCAAAGGAGCAGAAATGTCAACTCCCTTTTTCTTTCTGTCTGAACCAACGTTCAGACAGAACGACTTCTACCTCTACCTTCCTTCCATGTCTGTTGCTCAGTCCCTGGCTGACTTCTTTGTCTGGGGAGGTCCAAGTGGTGGACAGGACATGAGAAAAATGCACCCCCTCATCTGCCCAGTGGGGCACTCTCTGACTTGGTATTTTACTTAATTTTCCCCTCATTTTCTCTCTCCCACTCCTGAATGTATTTATGTATTTATTTATTGGAGACAGGATCTGGCTCTGTTATCCAGGCTGGAGTGCAGTGGCGCAATCTTGGCTCATTGCAACCTCCGCCTCCCAGGCTCAAGCGATCCTCCCACCTCAGCCTCCTGAGTAGCTGGGACCACAGGTGCACACCACTAAGGCTAGCTAATTTTTCTATTTTTTTTGTAAAGACAGGGTTTTACCATGTTGGGCAGGCTGGTCACAAATTTATGTGCTCAAGTGATCCACCCACCTCAGCACCCATCCCAAAGTGCTGGGATTACAGGCGTTAAGCCACCACGCCTGGCTTCCTCTCCTGAATTTTCATTTACTCCCCACACCTCCCCCACACCCAGCTGAAGTGAAGACTCAAAGCCCAGAAGAAAGAGCATCTTTGAAAAAATGGTCACAACTGCTCTAGCCTCTGTGTCTCCCCAGGTTCCTGCAGCAACCAGGTAGCTGTAATTCAGGGACAGAACCAAGAAAACCTGCCTTGGACAGGTAGAGATAGATCTCTGAGTTGGGTTTTTCGTTGCTGTTGTTTTGTTTTGTTTTGTTTTTCTGAGACGGATTCTCGCTCTGTAGCCCAAGCTGGAGTGCAGTGGCGCGATCTTGGCTCACTGCAAGCTCTGCCTCCCAGGTTCACACCATTCTCCTGCCTCAGCCTCCAGAGCAGCTGGGACCACAGGCACCCGTGACCATGCCTGGCTAATTTTTTTGTATTTTAGTAGAGACGGGGTTTCACCGTGTTAGCCAGGATGGTCTCGATCTCCTGACCTTGTGATTCGCCCACCTCAGCCTCCCAAAGTGCTGGGATTACAGGCGTGAGCCACCGCGCCCAGCCTGAGTTGGGTATTCTTAAAGTTGAGATGTGCAAAGATGCGGATGGGGCCCACCTGTAACAGACTGTCCCACTTCCCAACTGGTATCAGGTGTCACTGCAGCAAGAGGGATTTAGGTTAGACCAGGGATAGATTATTTGCAATGAGCAATGAGTCGCAGATCTGTGGGGAGCCATGGAGCACCATATGTCACCAAGGAGGGGAAGTATGAGGGACTTGTGCAGGCTCTTCTGAAAAAATATGGGTTTCTTCTCGAGAAATGAGGATTTTCTGCAGAACCACCCACCCTCTTTCACGTTTTGGCCAACACCAAACCTTTCCAGAGTGAATGCATGCACATGCATTCAGATTCAGATCTACATTGTCATCTAAATATTCCACCCTTTTTTTCTTTTTATTTATTTGTTTATTTTTTTGAGACAGGGTCTCACTCTGTTGTCCAGGCTGGAGTGCAGTGGTGTGATCTCGGCTCACTGCAACCTCTGCCTCCCAGGTTCAAGCAATTCTCCTGCCTCAGCCTCCCAAGTAGCTGGGATTACAGGCGCCCGCCACCATATCCAGCTAATTTTTGTATTTTTAGTAGAGACAGGGTTTCACCACGTTGGCCAGGCTGGTCTCGAACTCCTGACCTCAGGTGATCTGCCCACCTCGGCCTCCAAAAGTGCTGGGATTACAGGCATGAGCCACCACTCCCAGCCCCCTTTTTCCTTTTTGAAGAGGGGTCTCACTATGTTGCCTGGGATTGTCTTGAACCCCTGGGCTCAAGCGATTCTTCCACCTCAGCCTCCTGAGTATTGGGGATTACAGGCATTTACCACCATACCTGGCAAAACATCCCATCTTTATCTTGCTAGTAGGATTATAAATCTCTTGAAGGAGCTGTGTTTGTTTGTTTTCCCTTACTGGGGACCTAGGAGGTACTCCCTAAACACAGATATGGTGATTCTTACTGTTTTAAATTTGGTAAAATTTAAATTCCAAAGGATACCCCAAATTTGCACCTAAGAATGCTCCTGTCCACATCACACAGCCCCCCACATGTGACACATACATCACAGAGAATGCACCTCCAACCACCCCACATGCATCACCTTCTTCTCCACATTCGGCCCCAAAGCACTCTTTCGTGTTCAAAGTCAAAGGCCACCTCTGTGATGCTGTCTCTGAGTCAGACGCCTATAGGTGCCTCCTACAGAAATCTGTTCATAAGTTCTCTTAGCATGTTTTATTATAATGATGTTTGTCTGTAGGTCTCACCATTAGCCTATGAGTTCCTTGAGGATGAAAACTGTCTTCTCTGTACATCTAACATCTAGCATTAGTACATAGTAGGCGCTCAGTAAATGCTTGTTGAAGGGAGGTGTGAATCAAATGCAAAGCACACAAGTAGGCTCCAGGGTCCCCGGGGCAGAATGGATGTGTGATTGCAGCACTGAGATTGAAGCTGCAGCCACCGGATCTGCAGGATTCCGTAAGAGGCCTGGGAAAGTTCAGCTCTGCCTCAGAGAGTCCACATCCAGAAGAGCATGGAGAAGGTCAGTGGAGAAAGCTGGGAAAAACTGGGAGAGGAGCCAGAAGGGCTAGGGGGTCACCAGACAGCAGAGGGATGCTGAACAGTGCCCCCAGCAGGGAGTGCTGCAGTCAGCTGTCACTCCAAGGGGCCAGGAACCATCCTTCACTGTTCCTGGCTCTGGCCTCCCACTGCTGCCTCTCTGCTGCCACCATGTACCCCAAAGAGGCGAGCTAAGCCTCTGAGTTTAGTAGATTCTATCTAGGGTTAAGACAAGAGCAACACCACCAGTCACCACCATACCACCCCACCCGCTAGTGCAGAAGCAGCTGGGCGGTGCGCTCAGCCGGCTGCCTCAGCGGCCTCCTTGTCAGCCCCCTCCTCATCTTGCTCGCCATTCTGGAGTCTGCGCACAATGCGGGTAAGGTCCAAGCTTCGTGTCAATGTGTCCAGAAGCATCTGGTCCTTCTGGACGCCCTCTATAAACTCTTCCAGGGAGAGTTCCCCTGGGGTAGAGAGAAAGGGAATCAGGGGGAGGAGGGTGTTCATTTCTGCAGTCCAGAGCACAGAACCGGGTTCTTGCCAGGGGCAGGGACAGAGCCCAGGCGAGGAGAAGCGACCTGCAGGTGCAGCAGGCAGAGGCACCCAGAGCCCAGATTCTGGTCCAGGGGCCCCTAAAAGCCAACTTTGTGGCTGGGGCAGGTGGAGGAGGTGACTAGCCCGGGGACCTTTGGGCCTCCTCCTCTCCTCCTTCCCCTCTCCTCTAGTGACCTTCCACCCCTCATGACCCCACATCCATGGTGACCCCTCCCCTGGGGAGCCCCTCCTCGGCCCACTCACCATCCCCGTTGACGTCAATCTTGGAGAACACTGTATCGGTGAACTCCTCTGCAGTCATGGCGGTATCGCTGCAGGGGTTAATGGCGCGAATGGCCTGGGAGGAAGAAGGAGCAGAAGTGAGAGGGGCCCATCCTTATCCTATCTCAGGGGTGGGAGTGGGGACGGTCAGAGCTTGTGCGGCTCCCAAGAGCAATGAGGAGTAGGGTGCAGGGTACCCGGGGGCCTAGGCAGAGCTGGGACTCAAGAGTCAAACTTCTATCTTCTTTTGGTATTGATGAGGAAACTGAGGCCCAGGAAGGGAAGGAACGTGGCCTGGGTCACGCAGCTGGTGAGGTCCACAGCTGCCACTAGGATCCTCAGTCCCACATCCTGTCTCAATCCTGAGATTGCTGTTCTAACCCTGGGCTCTCAGCTCCGGGTCCCACCCAGGCCGCTGCCCCCAGCCCTGGCCGGGCCCTCTGCACCTGGATGATGGTGAGCAGCTCGTCGCGGTCAATGCAGCCGTTGCCGTCTACATCATAGAGCTTGAAGTACCAGCGGAGCTTCTGTTCCACCTTCCCCTTGAGGACCAGGCTGAGCGCCGCCACATACTCCATGAAATCAATGTAGCCGTCCTGGGCGAGGGGCGTGGCCGCCGTGAGCCCACCCGGGCTCCGCCCACTCCGTCCTCAGGCCCCGCCCATCATAACCCAAGTCTCCACCCATCTCGGCAAGCCCCAAGACATGCTGAGGGGAGCCCCGGACCTTAGGAGATGCGGCCAGGGAGGCCAGCCCTGTCTCCGCCGTGACCTGTCAGTCTTCCTAGACGCCCTGTATAGCCCACCCTGCCTACCTCTGAGGCTGCCAGTCAAATCCAATAAGCCAGCACCCACTGGGGTGTGAATGGCTATGGCGCTGTCTGTTCACAGGCATCTGGATTTTAGCGGGCGCTACCTGCTTCCCTGTGATTGTCAAGCATGAGACTTTCCAGTTAGGGGAAATGGGTGACGTTTGCGTAGATGAGAGGAGGAAGAACTGCACCCCCAGGGATGGGAGCGTGGTTTGGGTGAGCTTTGGGGAGTTTCTCACCCTGCCGCCTGAGGGGCTTAGGCCCCCCGGAAGGCCTTAACCACTCTGAGCCCCACAGTGGGCTCATTCAGTCCCAGCCCACCTCCCAGGGCTGTCATCAGAACAGAGTCCAGAGAGGCCCCTAGACAGCACTGGTTGAATAAGCAAGAAAACTGCTAAGGAGGTTTCCTCTTGGGGAGGGGACACCGGTTGAGGATACTTTTGCTGTTCATTTTTTATCTTTCTGTATTGTTGGAAATTTCTATGATGAGCTGGATTGCTTTTGCAGTTTGTTTGTTTGTTTGTTTGTTTTTTATGTCTGAAAAGGGGCAATGGAAAAGGTGTGGATTTTTGTGCCAGAAAGACCTAAATCACCTTAGATAAGTCTCACGACCTTGAGTCTCCGTTTTCCCAGCTATAAAATGGAATGACAGTGTGCACTTTTCAAGGTTGTGGTATGGCCGGGCGCAGTGGCTCAAGCCTGTAATCCCAGCACTTTGGGAGGCCGAGACGGGCGGATCACGAGGTCAGGAGATCGAGACCATCCTGGCTAACACGGTGAAACCCCGTCTCTACTAAAAAATACAAAGAACTAGCCGGGCGAGGTGGCAGGCGCCTGTAGTCCCAGCTACTCGGGAGGCTGAGGCAGGAGAATGGCGTGAACCCGGGAGGCGGAGCTTGCAGTGAGCTGAGATCCGGCCACTGCACTCCAGCCTGGGCGACAGAGAGAGACTCCGTCTCAAAAAAAAAAAAAAAAAAAAAAAAAGGTTGTGGTATGCATTAGATTCAATGAAAATATATAGCAATACTAATGGTTTTTTAGTGCTCTCCATGGACTTCCTAGGCTGACAGCTTTATTCACTTTACTCATTTAATCTCACGGCCACCGCCAAGAGGTGAGTATTTTTGTCTCTAGTTTGACTGAGAAAGTCAAAGTTGAGAGAGATTAGGCCACACAGCTAGTGAATGACAAAGTCTCGCCTAGAAAACTGGGTCTCCTAAATCATCCTATACCCGTCCTCAAATGCAGATGGAGATTTACATAGATTTGTGTGCACCTGTGTGATCGTCAGACAAACCCAAGCCCAGACAAACATTTGAAGTAAGCAAAGCAAATGCCTGTCCCCCAGGTCTCAGTCCCCACTCACGTTCTGTATTCCCCAGCCCTGCACATCCCAAAGATACAACCATTTTTTTAGTGCAGGGACTGGCAAACTTTTTCTATAAAGAGCCAAAGAGTAAATATGCAGCTTTACAGCCACACACCCTCTGTCATTTCATGTGAAAGCAGCCATAGACAATTGTCTATGTAAATAAATAGATGTGGTGAGTTCTAATAAAACTTCATTTACAAAAACAGGCCTGTGTGCTGTCATTTGCCTATCCCTGTTTTGTTTAACGCCTCTCTGTATCAAAACTTCTGACCGGGCACAGTGGCTCACGCCCATAATCCCAGCACTTTGGGAGACCGAGACGGGCAGATCACGAGGTCAGGAGATCGAGACCATCCTGGTGAACACAGTGAAACCCGTCTCTACTAAAAATACAAAAAATTAGCCGGGTGCGGTGGTGGGCGCCTGTAGTCCCAGCTACATGGCAGGCTGAGGCAGGAGAATGGCGTGAACCCAGGAGGCGGAGCTTGCAGTGAACCAAGATTGCACCACTGCACTGCAGCCTGGGTGACAGAGCGAGACTCCGTCTCAAAAAAAAAAAAAAAAAAAAAATAAGAGTTATTCCTTCTTCGGGAGCATTTTGAGTGTGGAACATGATGACGCCATCCCCTCAAGTCTCCGTACCACAGGCTCTGGACTCTGCTCACCTGCTCCCACTTCGGGAAAGCCCTTGGGCTCCCTCATACCACACTTGAGGTTGGGACTCAAAGCCTGTAATCTACTTTGGTCCCTTATCCTCAAATATTAGTGAGTTTTAAATAGCCACTGAGCCCCAGCTTTCCCAAGAAGCCCTACCCGTGATGGTGCCTGGACCTTTTGGGCAGCGAGGGAAGGAGCCTCTCCTGGGTCTGTAGAGCACATGTGGCAGCGCCTCATTTCGTCCTCACTTTTCAAGTGAGGGGCCACAGGGCGGGGAGCCACGTTTGCAGATTTGGGTTCTTCCACAACTATGTCTTGACCAAATAGTTCCAAATGAGTGGAACATCTACTACAAAAACCAACAAACTTCTTAACTAATTCTCCCGACATCCACAGCATCATGAATACCCCAAGACTGAGAGGGGAGATGATGGGCTCAAGGTCACCCAGCTGATGAAAGCTAGGGACGCAAACCCACAGTCCCAAATTCGCCTTTCAGTGACCCCTCTAGCTTACCAATCAGGAAGCCCTTACCCAGTGCATCCAGGGGGGCTACTAGGGAGACACACAATATGACCATTGTGTGGACCTTCAGGCTCATTTGAGAAAAAGTGATACCCAGTGATCTGAGGTCACTGGGTATTTTGAGGTTGGGAGTATTCTGGATTCTCCAGGGACCAGGCAACCCTGTCTGTCTCCAGTCCTCATGTCCACAGAACATTATGAGTGGCCTGCCCATGCCAGACAGCAAGGCTGGAGAATCATTATCTTGCTCCCTGCTCTCTGCCCCTCCACCCACACCCTTGAAAGCTTCAAAGGGTTTTGCAAAAGCACCACATATGGGACCGGCACATCGCAGGTGTTCAATGACCATCTTGGAAGTGTTTACGCTCGTTTTGGAGTAAACCAAGATATGCCTGTGGCAGAGGCAGAGGAAGCCATTGGATTCAGCCTCAGATTACACTAATTTTGGGGCCTCTCTGTCTTGCCCTAGAAAGTGAGGGCAGGGACAGTGTCTGATTTATTTATAACCCCCCAGTGCCTGATTCAGTCGGTGCTCATTAAAGCACAAACATTAGATCCGTTGAAACCCTAGCGTCAAAAACCCACCTCTCAAGCAAACAAATGACTGAATAAATGAAGTCGCTCCCCAGCGGACACTTCGACGCTCCTCTCTGCTCTTCCTCACCCTCAGCTGGTCAGGCTTCCAGAGGGGTCCCTCCAGCACTCCCCCTCCCTGCCACTGGGCCCCTGCTCACCTTGTTGAAGTCAAAAGTCTCAAACATCTGCTCCACGTACTGGCTGGCCGACGGGCTCAGGTTCTTGAGGCCAAAGAACTGGCGGAACTCATAGAGGGTGAGTTGGCCAGAGGGGCACTCAGTCATGAACTTCTTGTACCACTGGTGGCACTCAGTGCTGCTCAGCTCCTCCACCGACTTTCCCTCCATCACATTGCCCATTGCTCAGACCTTCAGGGGGCTGACGCCTGAGATAGACAGGTCCTGCTCGCTGCTCCTCACCCAGAGGTGTCTTGGCGACAATGGGCCGTCCTCTGTCACAGGCCTGAGTCCTTCGGGCCTGAGCAAAGAAGGGCCTGATGGATCAGATGGTACCGGGAAATGTGGAGAGGAAGAGAGAAGAAGGAAGAAGCTGATGGCCCACACTCAAACTCACAGATGCCAGAGAACTGGTGTTAAGAGTCTCCACCAAATCCTTGCAGCCCCAGTGGAGACTGTACCCTGGAGAAGAGAGTTGAAAATAGAACAAGGCTTAGAGAAGCAGAGTCCTTAGGATTACAGCCTTGAGCTGTAGGTGAGAGGATTTTTTAACCCAGTTTGCAATCTCCTAATCCCTTCTTACCACCACGGAGTGGGTGTCAGCCAGAAGCTGCTCTGATCCTATGACCTTTGCGACCTTCTTCTCCCGGTTTGAGTGGATTCACAATGGTTTTGGATTCTGCCCTCAATCATGGAATTGAGGTATATATGAGATAGAGCTGGCTTCTTGTCCAGAGATGGCCAACTGTGGGCTCCTGACAGGGCTGCTGTGTACGGTTATCCAGGCTGTGCACTGCACTTGGCCATCACAACTGAGTGGGTCCAATCGTACCATGGATGTGCTAACATATGAGGGCACCTGGGTGGATGCAGAGTCTGTGGGCTTCCAAGATAAGCCTTGAACAGCCAGAGAGAACCCCCTCCTACATTAACCTGCACCAGTACACAGAGACCAGTACACACACATACACACACTCTTACACACTGGTCCTGTTCTGGCCACACTCTCGTGTTCCTGAAGGTTGCATCTTTCCCATCTTGAGAGCCCTGAATTCAACCTTCCATCTGACTCTGAGCCTCACACCATCACCATCACCTTCTAGGGGCACGGGTGGGGGACATGGAGTGTGTGCCTGGTGCCCTGGGGTGTGTGTGAGTGGAGTGGGAGAGTGCAGGCACATAGGTGCATGGGTGAGCTGCTACCTGCTGAGCCTGGAAAGCTCCCAGGCCAAGCCTGGGGGGCCTGTCTATGCAGCAACAGCTTTCTCTGATGCCTGGTGGGATGTGTACTCCCTGGCCACACATTTAAAAGCTGGCTCAATTACAGAACCAGCATTTGGGTGCAGGCGCACTTAATCTGGATGCTGACAGGAAAACTTAAAGCCAGCGCTTGCCCTGCCGTTTTTCCCTTGTTTGCCTTCCTCCTTTACACATGTGCCACACCCAGGTCTCCTAACTCATCTAGAGGGAACCATTGCCCATAGTTCTGCGTTCCCCACCAGGGCCTTGGACGCTTGATCAAGTTGTGCACTGATACACAATTTATACAATTTATATAAATAATATATAATTACATGTAAATAGATTTATATAAATATACAATTTATACAATAGGTAACATATATCAAATATATGTGTATACATATCTCACAATGGGCTAGGCTATGCTACAGTAACAAACCACTCTAAAATCTCAGTGGCTGAAAACAACACAAGCTTGTTTCTTGCTTACATTACTGGTTGGGTGACCTTGAGCAAGTAACTTAACCTCTCTGAGCCTCAGTTTCCTCATTCTTAAAATAAGAATAATGGTGCCCATCTGATAGGGCTGTTAAGGGTAGTAAGTGGGGCTGGGCACAGTGGCTCACACCTGTAATCCCAACATTTTGGGAGGCCGAGCTGGGTGGATCACTTGAGGCCAGGAGTTCGAGACCAGCCTGGCCAACATGGTGAAACCTCATCTCTACTAAAAATACACAAATTAGCCAGGTGAGGTGGTGCACACTTCTGTAATCCCAGCTACTTGGGAGGCTGAGGCAGCAGAATCGCTTGAACCCAGGAAGCAGAGGTTGCAGTGAGCCAAGATCGCACCACTGCACTCCAGCCTGGATGACAGAGCGAGACCCTATCTCAAAAAAAAAAGAAGAAAAAAAGAGTATGTGAGTTCATATAAGAAAAGCATTTAGAACAAGGTCTGGCCCAGAGTAAGTGCCCCATAAATCTTGGCTATGACGTTATTTTGTATCTATTACAGTAACACGTCTGGCATGCTTTTCACTACAGTCTAGGTGCGCTTATACCGCATCTTGGACACAGCAGCATCCCTAGGTTAGAGCCAATCATGCTCTTGTCCCTTTAGCCCCATTCACTCTGGGCCCTGGACGGCTAGAAGGGCTATGTGTAGGAACAGACATTCAACTTGCCTCACACGGGCCACCTACCAGCTGTAGTCAGGCCCTAGGGAAGGTGGAGGCCTTTGTTAAAACCTTATCAGATTCAGGCTCATGCCTGTAATCCCAGCACTTTGGGAGGCTGAGGTGGGCAGATCACAAGGTCAGGAGTTCGAGACCAGCCAGGCCAACATGGTGAAACCCCGTCTCTACTAAAAATACAAAAATTAACCTGATGTGGTGGCGGGCACCTGGAATCCCAGCTACTTGGAAGACTGAGTAATCCCAGCTACTCGGGAGGCTGAGGCAGGAGAATCACTTGAACCAGGGAGGCGGAGCTTGCAGTGAGCTGAGATTGCATCACGGCACTCCAGCCTGGGCGACAGAGCAAGACTCCGTCTCAAAGAAAAAAAAAAATTGTTCATGATGAGCATATGTTGCTCACAAAATCAAAGAGGATAGTTATTTTTGAAAAACAGACCAACTGAGACTATTGTACCTCTACTCCTCATAAATTGACGGCGGGTACACGGGGGTGGGGAGCTGAGTTCTCCCTGCTTCAGTCGGGTTCTCCACAACAAGTTAACAGACGAGGAGAGAAGGACTCCTTCTGGGAACTTGCTTGGGGCCCAGCTGGAAAATGTGTCCTTGCAGAGGCCTCTCAGGCCCGAGATTGGGAAATGAAGAGGTTGGGGACAAGGCAGCAGCTCATCTTTCCCTCTCTGTCTATTTAAATCCCTCTCCCTCTTCATGTGTAAGCACAAATGCCACCTCCTCTGTGAAGCCTTCCCAAATCGCCCTCAAATATCTTCCTCCTGCAGCATCCTGACATTTTATGTGTTGTGACCGTTAATTTTAGGACTGGATGAAGGGATACCCAGCAAACTGGTAAAGCTTTATTTCTGGGTGTTTCTGTAAGGGTGCTTGCCGAAGAGACTGGCTTTTGAATTCATAGACTAAGTGAGGAGAATCTGCCTTCACCCTATGTGGGTGGGCACCATCCAATTGGCTTAGGCCTGGATAGAAGAAAAAGGCAGGGGAAAGGTGAATTCTCTCTCTCTCTCTCTCTCTTCCCCTCCCTCCCTCTCTCCCTCTCTCCCCTGGAGCTGCAACACCCTTCTTCTCCTGCCCTCGGACTCCAGGATTTGCACCAGCAGCAACCCCTCCCCACTCTCACGTTCTCAGTCCTTCAGCTTCAGACCCAGAGTTACACCAACAGTTTCCTTGGCTCTGAACCCTTTAGGCTTGAACTGAACCATGCTACTGGCTTCCCCAGTTCTCCTTCTTACAGATGGCATATTGTGGGACTTCTCAGCCTCCATAAACGTGTCAGCCAATCCCCCTAATAAATCCTCTCTCACACCTCTATATATATCCTATTGGCTCTGTCTCTGTGATGAACTCTGGCTAATGTGTGTGTTATATTAGTTTTCTATGTTGCATAACAACCACAAAGTCAGCAGTTTTAAAACTACACACATTTATTATTATTATTAATTTTTTTTTTGAGATGGAGTTTTACTCTTGTTGCCCAGGCTGGAGTACAATGACGCAATCTCAGTTCAGCGCAACCTCCTGCCTCCCAAGTTCAAACGATTCTCCCACCTCGGCCTCTGGAGTAGCTGGGATTACAGGCATCCACCACCACGCCCGGCTGATTTTGTATTTTTAGTAGAGATGGGGTTTCTCCATGTTGGTCAGGCCAGTCTCGAACTCCCAACCTCAGGTGATCCACCCATCTCGGCCTCCCAAAGTGCTGGGATTACAGGCATGAGCCACCATGCCCAGCCATACATTTATTATCTCACAGTTTCTATGGGCCAGGAGTCCAGGCACAGCTTAGCTGGTCCTCTGCCTAGGGTCTCACAAGGCTGCTCTCAGGGTGTCACCTGGGCTGTATTTTCATCTGGAGGCTCAACTGGGGAAGAATCCACTTCCAATTTATTTAGGTTGTCCGCAGAACTCATTTTGTTGTGGCTATGTGGCAAGGGAGCTGGCTTTTCACTTGACATTGCCTGGGGGCCACAGTCAGGTCCTAGAGACTACCCTCCATTCCTTGTTACACCACCTTCCTCACCACAGCTGCTTATTTCAAGTCAGCGAGAAGAGTCTCTCTGCAATCTGCTGAAGTCTATATAACCTAACATAATCCACAGAGTGACGTTCTTTGCCATATTCCATGGGTTAGCACCATCACGGGCCTCACCCATACTCAAAGGGAGAGGATTTTACAAAGGCGGGAACAACAGGAGGTAGAAATCACTGGGGTCACCTTAGAGTCTATTATGACATTCATTCTTCTACAATAACGTGGACATAACATTCATTTCTTTCTGGAAGTATTATATAGGCAACTCTTTCTTGCCAGCCTGCTCTAAAGAACCCAGCAAGCACAGAGGGTGGAGACCATTGTGTTATTGTGTCTCGCCTGCCCCCAGCCCCTGGTACCACACATTCCACACAGTCGTGGGCTGGTTGTTCTGTTTGCCCTGCCCCCACTCATTCTCCACCTTTCTCCTCCAGGTCTGAGCCCCAGGAGACTGACCCCACAGACTGCATCACTCAGACTCTGCTGCCCTCTGGTTTCAGGTGGGTTCATCCGCTGAGAAGCTGGAGGAAGACTGGAGGGTGGAGAGGGAGAAGGGCTGGGACATTTGTTGTCCTCCCTGCTCCCTGCCAACATAGGGTTGGGGCAGCGGTTATTTCCTTCCATCTTCAACCACCGCTCCTGCCATAGCTCTCTGGGCTCCTGTAATCACAGCTCCCTCCCTTTGCCCTGCCAGGCATGATAAGGGCTTCCCTCTCGCTATTCTCTGGGTACATCACCATTCCCTTAACTATGCCCACCTCTCTGTTAATAGTCCCCACATCGACTCTCCTAAATTACCTTTTTAAGAGTAACATTTGACTGACCGACTTGAGCCCAGTAAAATATTGAGTGCTTGCATGCACGCACATATGATTAAAGAAAGAATTCCTGGGGCCGGGAGCCGTGGCTCACGCCTGTAATCCCATCACTTTGGGAGGTCGAGGAGGGTGGATCACCTGAAGTCAGAAGTTCAAGACAAGCCTGGCCAACATGGCGAAATCCCGTCTCTACTAAATATACAAAACTTAGCTGGGTGTGGTGGCGGGCGCCTGTAATTCCAGCTACTCGGGAGGCTGAGGCAGGAGAATCGTTTGAACCTGGGAGGCGGAGGTTGCAGTGAGCCGAGATTGCGCCATTGCACTCCAGCCTGGGTGACAAGAGTGAAGCTCCGAATCAAAAAAAAGAAAGAAAGAATTCTTAAAAAGCTAAAACTGGATGAAACTCTGCTTGTTGAATAGGTGCGCAAGTCCTGTGGGGTGGGTATTATTATTACCACATGAGACAAAAGGGGCTTGGGGCAGAAAATTTAAATCACCCGCTCAGGTTCACGAGCCTTTTAGTGGTGGTGCCAAAGTTTTCCCACCTCATCATCATGCTTTTCTCCTAAGCCTTCACACCTCTGCAGAAGGGCTGGATAGAGCCAGAGGCACCCCACGAGCCCCTCGAGCCTGTGGCTCCAGCGCCCTCTCCCTCAGCCTTCCCCTTGTGGCCCTCTGCCCAACAATTCCATTGACAGAGAGCTTGCTCCCTTTGCGGGAGGAGGGTCCCCACCCCTTGTCTCCAGCCCAGGGTGGGAATGGAATCCCCTCAGACAGGTATGCCCAGGCAAGGAGGACTGAGATCAACACCAAGGCCCCAAGGAAGCAGTATGCACAAGATATGCGTGAGGGCACGGAAGGCCAGGGTACAGGTCACACAGCATACACAGTGAGGGAGATTCCTGCCTTCCCCGGCTGCTCTGTCTGCACGAATCCCTCCTGGGACAGAAGCCAGATCAAAGGAAGAAGCTCCACCTCGCGGAATGGGGCCAAGGGGAGGGAGTGGATGGGGCAGCTGCAGACAGGTGGGAAGACAAGCCAGGAAGAGACAGGAGGGGCAGCGATCCCAGGCCAGACTAATCCCCCTCCAAGGCTGTCTGCTTG